CACTGGCCCCACAGAAGACTGTGAAGTTACATACCATGGTCTCACTGCATCTTTCCCCCCACTTTAGAATACAGTGAGCACCGCACTTCCCCACTCTCTAGCTAGACCAAGGCACGTGAGGAGAAACCCTAACGCACGACTCCCTTCCGCTCTCCTTCACCAAGGGTCCTGCCAGTGTAGTTGGCCCTTCTTTGCTTTGCCCTCGCTGGGCTTCTTGAAGGTCGCCTGCTTGGCCTCCTTGACGTCTTGTGAAGCTTGAGCTCTTCGTCCAGCTGGCCAGCCTTTTCCAAGAGACGACCCATGACCATGAACTCGAGCGACTCGAACTCGACCTTGATTCGATTTGCTCGACGAATCCTCGAATTTTTCGTTGGTCAAGTCATCGTGGGACCCATTGAAGGTCCAGGTCAATGCCGCGCCTATCCAGCTGGGAAGCCAGCTCCATAGCCACAACGCTCAGTGGATATTTGCTGCTACCGAATTTCTTGAGGACGTGGGTGTTTCCCAGGTTATCCGTGAGCGCAGATAAAGTGACCACGGAATCTCCTGTCCCCCACTCTGGTGCAGGGGAGAAAACCATGACAGCTGCTAGCGCGCCTATCAACTCCAGGGTTGCAATGGACCGAAAAGGATCACCTTTACATGCGGCGTTCTTTCTATTGAGCCTGAACGAAAACCAGCAAGCCTCCTTCTGCACTGCCTTCTTCCAGGTCTCCCAGCCTCCAATAACAATCTCTTCACCAGCCGCCTTTGCGTCCACCCTGAAGATGTCGTTGGGGCATGTCAACAGAGGCTCAAGCGCCTGTGTTGGCTTGCGTAGGCCCATATGCCGCCCCATGATCCTGTGCGAGCATCTCGCAACCACGCCAATTGCTCTGCCGGACCAATACGCAGCACTAGCTATGCCAAAGGTCCCTCTGGTGTGCACAAACACATCGCCTGTGGCCTCTCCAAGCAGTCGAAAGGCCTGTAGCCCCCAGTCCTCCTCACGCAGAGGGATCAACTTGTGCGCTCGAGCGATGTCGTACAGGACCGAGAACCTGATGATCTCTTTGTTCTCCTCCTTTTCCTCTCGCACCTGAAGCAGAATGGCCGCCGCGTCATCAATGAGAGGGAACCTCATACGGTCTCTGACGCAAATGCGCCGATTGACATCGACGCTGTAGGCGCCATCATGTATCAGGCGCACTTTGCTAGTGCCCAGCTCTTTTGGCACTGCGCCTAGTGCCGAGGGTGTCATGGAACTCCTCTTCTGTTTGTTCCACCGTCCATTTCTCCTTCTCCTCGTAGACGGCGGGCGTCCGGGGCATCTCCTCGTCAACTCCCAAGGGCACCCCTTTGGCAGCCACCTCCTCCAGGAACTCAAAGTCCTCGTCACCCAGAGCTTCGGCCACACTTCTCAATCTTCGGAAGTTGATCTCCGTGCGTCTGTCAGCACAAGCCTCTCTCACGCAGCCAAAGGTCCAGCCGTTCTCTGAAGCCGTAAAACTCTCCTCCGAATGGGGCGCCCCCCAACTTCCCTCCCGCCAGCGACCAGAAGAGCTTCTTTGCTCCATCCCTTGTACTTGGTCTGCAAGGGGGGACCGATCCCAGGCCGACTGCTCAAGCTCGTAGTGCCGCCCAATGCCCGCTTGCTCCATGCCGCACTGCTCAACTCACCTCTGCTCAATGTTGCACTGTTGCTCACCCCTGCATTGCTCAATGTTGCACTGTTGCTGGGCCCTGCGTTGCTCAATGTTGCTTTGTTGTCCAACCCTGCACTGCCCAATGCCGACTTGCTCACTGTCGGTGTGCACCACTGAACAAACACAGCACCCTGCAAATTCGTATGCCTCTTGTTGTGCCCCTGTCTTCCGGAGGGGGTCAGGCAGCCCCCCCTTGATTGTTGCTTCAAGCCCCCTGCCAGTATCGGCTGGAGCCCCAGCCGTGTCCTTGCTCTTGCCTGACGCATCGCACGCGTGTGCGGGGTGACTCCCGAAGCATAGTTGGCAAACATGCAGCCTCCCGCAATTGAACCTGCATCGTTCGCGGGGGTTGTTCCATCTGGTGTGCGGTCGTGCATTTGACGGCCTTTCTTGTTCTTGCTCTTGCTGCCCTTCTTCCCTTTGCCTTTCCCTTTGGGCTGCTCGTAGTGATCCGATGTCCATGATCCTCTCTGCCATGGTGGACTGCGGGAGCGATGATAGTCTCCTCTGCATGTTCCTGCTGTGTTCACCTGGGAGTAGACATTGGGTGTAAGGAAGTGACGTTCTTTGATCGTTGTGTCTGTCATAGCTTCCTTCAATCCCTCCACCATGGTTGCACCTTCATTCGCGAGCTTCACCATTTGCCGCCGCACTTGGTAGTCGTACGACAACATCAAATCAAAGTCCGGCGAGGCGATGACATCCCCGTCCTTGTTGCGAGCTTTCTGGCCGAGGACGTGTTCGCCGAGCATCAAATCCAAATAACGAAGGAAATGTTGTGGCTGTAGGTCACGCAAGCTGGCTTTCTGTGGATACTTCTGCTTCGCTAGAAGATATGCGTTTGCCACTACTGACACATGCGCTTGCGGAATTCCTCCCGGTTTCGGGTTCTGGCATTCCCCGTACCCCTTCTTTATCTTGAGGGCGCCCGTGCTCTTCTCCAAAGATGTCTGCCTCAGCGTCATCCCTGCTGAGGAATTGCACCAGGCTCATATTCTTCAACTCTCCTTGCTCCACCTGGTCGAAGATCTGCTCGAGGGTGGTTGCTGCAGGTGTGGTCCGATCTTCGAGTTTGATTCCGTGCACTTTCTTGAACCTCACCAACAGCTCTTGCGCCTCGACTTGGTCCTCACCGACACTCTTGTACTCGCCGATTCCCACGTGTCCACCAGTGAAGCGATCTCAACGATGTCGCGGGTCTCGTCAAGTGTCAGCACCTCCGCGCAAAACTTCCTCATGCCTACTCGATCATCTGCAACTGTACTCATCCGACTGATGCTCCGGATCTTGGCCACGGAGAGCTTTGCCTGAAGGACTTCATCTACCTCCTTGACCTGAAGCAGGCCATGAAGGTCGGCATCTAACAACGCGATTGCGTTCTTCCTCCTCTCTTCTGTATCGTGACCGATACCCGCCATGAATCGGCCACGCCCTGCAATCAAGCACATAAATTGCACAACTGCCTACCCCCCTTTCAAATGCAACACACCGACAAACACGCGACCCGAAAGCGACCGTCACGAGCCGTGCCTTCCTCCCTACTTAGTCTTAGCTACTAGTCCAATACCGGCATGGCAATGCTCGACGCGACGCCCCTCCTGCGAGCGCGTCCTCCCTGCCGCGCCCCTCACCTCTTTTCATCCTGTGCGGACAGCTCTCTTGGTCTTCGAACTCCTCACGGGATGATCTCTCCTCCTCCTCGGTGTCTGTCATTTCCGAGGAGGACACTTCTCCCGAGGACTCCTCCTCGAGAGTGTTCGATGCTTCCGCCACCCCTTTACAGAAACGCTGCAACTCTTCCACGAGAGCAACAGGCCCCGTGGTCGTCCACCTGGGCCTCCGGCATTGTTTTGCCTGACCCTCGCCCGGCATGAACGTCATCAAACGCATGAGCTGCTCGTCAATCTCCTCCTGCGTGTATAGGTCATGCCCTTCCGGGAGGCCTGCTGACTTGATGATCTCTTGGATCTCCTTCACCCATCTATCGCGCTCCTGCTTCTCCGCGAGCTCCCGCATGGCCAGATCGCTTGAAGCGATGTGTAGCTTCAAACTCAAGACCTGGAGCGCTTCGCAGTGCCCACCATCTGCACCTTGGCTCCTCATCTCACGTTGGTGGGCCACATGCGCATCTAGAAGTTCTTGTGCGCCACGCTTTGCATCCACCAGATGCCGCGTCTTGGCTCGACTTGCGGCCCTCTTCACTAAATCGTCCAGCACCTCTCGGCTGAGCGAGAAGCTGTCCTCCTTCTCTTGAATGCGCCAAATCACGGCGTCAAGGATGCTGGTCTCGCAGCTCTGTAGCGTGGCTAGACGAGTGACGTTCCAACCTGCCTTGGAAAGCGCCTCCATCTCCCAGGTGCTCACGCCAGCCAGGCTGCACACTAGAGACCAGTCATCCCGCTCATCCATTGCGGCGAAGCTAGTCGTTCCCCTCTCTACAGGAACAGAACTCGGGCCGCAATCTGCCGATCGTTTCGTGACATGCCGTGTACTACGTACAACATGCCATATATATATATAGTTATATTAAGTGGATTACAGTAGGCAGTTCTGAGTGCACCTTCCCGACCATGAAGCCGGTGATGTTCTGCAAGAAGAGCAACGGGATCTTCCGTTGCCCACACAGCTGCACAAAATGGGCGCCCTTCTGTGCCTCAGATTGAGTGTCTCCTGGCCCAGGCATGTTCTTCCAATCACTCACATGGCAAAACAAGTCCAATCTATATTCTTCGCTAGCTCTTGTGCAGCAAGAACACAAATGTTCGATCCGAATCAAAAATCGAAGACATCATTAAGAGTGCAACCGACCAACTCAAAGCATTACACGCAACAAACAGCTATCTACAAAAGAGGTGGTGAAGAATTTACTTGTATGCTGCAATTGAAGCATGGCACGGACTCGCCAAAAAGAATTCCGTTGTTGGCCACAATTCCTTGCGATGCTAGCAAGCATCTGTTTCCGCTTGAATTACAATCTAGGATGCAGCAAAGCAAACTGTGAAGAGTACACCCAAGTTGGATCCGAATTGTGATTGATTTGGATTCCATCAACTCCTCGAACATGGTCAACCTATCTCGAACTCCTCCTGTGACTGAGTGACTGTGATTGATTCCAATTTGCTTCCCGACTTTGTGAGGGAGAATTCATTGAGCTGGTGAGACCAGTTTAGCCAAGACTCCAACAGGATAGCCATGGATGTGTGCAAATCCACAGACCAAGGTGACACCGTAACGAGCTTTGAACTCGTGAAATCGTGAGCCGTCCACCAGCCGGGCGATGACCTGCCGAACCTCAAAGGCCTAACAGAAAGTCCATGATTGGACGAAAGACAACGCCGAAAGAAACACAGGCGATCAAACAGTGTGCTGAATCTCGCACTCGCCATCAAGCAACTCGAAAACAATCACATTTTTTCCGGCCCGCCGGCATGTTCAAGGATGTTCAAGGCCTCTGTTTGCTTAAATCCTCTTAAATCGCTCTCTGGCCTTTGAGTTGTCCTCAGGAATGATCCCAAGCAATTCTTCAGCGTCCAGCAAAGGTTCCTCGGGTTCCACCTGACGCCGACAAGAAGTTGAAGGCAACAATCTTGTACCATCTTCTACACCAACAGCAAAAGGGGCACACGTATATCCTTTATACGGCATACAGATGTATACAGTATCATTATACACATACACCCGAGCTGCATCCTACATTCTGCAATATTTTGCGGATTGTGAGCTAACGAGGCATTGATTAATGTCGTTCATGGTGTATTGTACCGCAACCAAACCAACCCTGGAAGTCTAAACGGGGTGCACTGGCCCCAGCCCACGGGACGGAGGGGAGCAACCCCAGGGAAAACAGCCTGAAAAAAGTGGCAGCCCCACCAGCACCAGCTTGAGGGGGTCCCAAAACATCGCAAAATCAAATGCGGGCTAGGATGAACGTGACGGGATGCTACGTGAAGCTGCAAGGCCTCAGGCAGTGCAGCATCGTGTCCGCCCGTGTACTTCAGCACTTCTCGACACATTGCCAAGGCCTCGACCCCGAGGCGGGCGTGCGACTTTTCTCTGTGGATGATCAAATACTCTACTGTAATCAAACCTCAGTATCAAATTTGTCCTTTATTTGCAAGAAAACCTTAAATTCTCACCTGGGGTTCGTTCTCTGCAAAGTGGTCTGCCACCCCAGACTTGGAGGTGTGCACGTCAGCACCTCCCAAATCCTCTCGTAAGCACGGATCGCACACAAACTGACCTCAAGGATCTCCAAGGCAACAACTCAACACGAGAACTGAATGAAGAGTCTTCTTGCACAGAACCCTTGAAGCTCCTCAGCAGTTACTTCTTCACCAGTGGAGGCCTTCACCAAGGGTGGCCCTCCGAGGAATATGGTGCCATTCCGCTTCACGATGATGTTCTCGTCTGACATTGCCTTCCGAAGCAGCCTATGAAGGTCTATATATTCACTTATTGTCTGTCTGTCCAGTCCTGCTTTCCGTATGAAACAGCCAATTTAACGCTAATAAACAAAAGTGAAACAGTGAATACTCAAAAGCTAAGTCTGTATGACAAGCAAGGGGTTCATAGTTTAATTAATGATGTTTCATGTATCTCTCAGAGCGCGGTCAAGGTCGGTGTATCTGTCGCCCCCTCTCGCCCCCGAAGTGCACCGGGACATACGCACCACCAGCAGTGCAGGAACCCAGGACAGCGGAGACCTTCAGAAGCAAACCGAACGGTGCAACAAGTGAGGACGCATTTGTCGAACGTCGAAACGTGGCAAATGGCCTGTGGCACTCCATGTTTCGACATCTGCGCCTGGAAGTGCAAACTGACACAAGTGCTTTCTTTGGGACTGATTCTTGCGGCTGAATGCAGCAGTCCGCGTGGGTTCTTGTCTACGCGCGTGTGAACTTTGTTTGCCTTGTAGCTCAATGTCAATTGCTTCGTTTCATGAGATGCGTTCTCCGTCTTTTGAACATGGCATAGAATCAATTTGCAAGCCTCGGCTTTCACATTTATTTGTGCAGTCACGTTTGCTCTTTCGGTGACGTCTGCTGGGCAGCCTGTTTTGACTGGAAGGATCAATTCTCATCTCTAATTCATTCAAGTTTTGTTGAATAATCAGTACAGTATCGTTAATCATTGCCCAAAAAGTGGTTGCTCAAGTCATATCGGAGAACATGAACCCGCAAGTTAAGTGCATGAAACATAAAATTCTCAACGACAAATGTGGGTTGCCACACTGCCTGGTTGTAGAAGATGCGGCCAAAGTGCATGCGATCAGGAAAGACCTGGTCACCGAAAGCTTCTTAGAGTTTAGTTTTCCAAGAAGATCCAAGTATAGATTGCCTACCTCGATCTGAACCGTTCCGAATCGGCCGTCGATCTGGACAAAACTCCTAAAGGCATAACACATAAAGTCATTTACGTTCCACAGCACCTCATCCTGCAACGGAAGGTAGGCGCCCCCAGAGTCTACCAAGTATACGCAGGGTAATTTGTTCTCCATGGCAATCTGCTGTGCTCTCAAATGCTTCTTGACAGTCATGGGATAGTACGTGCCGCCTGAAACAAAGATTGTAGCTTTGACTCAGTATGTGAATCATCTTGTGTAACACAGTGTGACATCGAAAATCACAAAAATCTAAGCAAGTGCACTACAAAAGAAACATTAGAACATCAGTGTATGCTTGGAGTTTTGGAGTGCTGAACAATTTATACTTGTTTCCAGCTGGTGTGACGCTGGTTGGCCTTTCACTGTTGCGTCGTTGGCCACAAACAAGACCTCACGGCCGTGCACCAGTCCAATACCTGTGACAATGCCTCAGTGACAAAACAATGCTCCATGCAACCATGTATGTATTTCAATGATGGAACAGGGTTGAGAAAAACCCGGCAAATGTTTAGATTGAAGGCAAAAGATTCGCAATCCTGGGCAGCCAGCGGGCCGTAGTAACATGAAACATTTTGCAAACCCAATGCGTCCTTAAAAATGGCCTGCAGAGTGTGCGCTCCCGTCGTAGAGGTCAAAAGCTGCCAGTGGCGACAACTCCAAGAATTTGGTGCCCGGGTCCTTCCAAAGAAAACATCGCCCACTTCCTTTCCATTTCCAGACAACTCTATCAAATGCAAGTTGCCAAGGGTTCAAAGGTGAATGTCAGGTGAACCTACCACCTGTCCGGATCAACAGAACAACATCTGACATGGTGCAACGCCGCTGTCCAACACAGCTTCGATGCGCTCACGTGGCAATGCCTGGCAATCCCAAGCTCATTTAGGTGAATCAAGGGTGAGCCGCGTAAAGCCATGGTGTTTGAACACATCTGAGTCACGATGGTCAAAAGCCTTAACAAACTCAGGTTGCGATACTAGTGACTGTCATTTGAGTTGTTGAAGTGAAAACTGGGCAACCACACGTAGTGAAAACACATCAGCGTGCTACTCTTTTGAGAAGCGTGAGTTTCACAGTCAACACGAAAAATGGGGCTACCACATTTGGGAAACAACTTAAGGGCTCAAACAATTCCCCAAACAGTGTGGTCACACTATATAAAGGTTCTTACGGTAATTAAGATCGGTGCTCACATCTGTGGGCAGCACATTTGGTGCTGTTTACAGTGCATTCCTGTCTCTCGAGATCTTCGAAGTGCATTTTGACTGCGCAGGCTCGCATAAACACCTGGGCCCGAGCGGGTACTTTTCTTGACCGTGTTCTCATTGTGGCACCGGCCACATTTTTGGACTTGGTGGTCGCTTTTTGTGGCAAGCACAGCAAAGGCAACCCTTTGCACTTGGTGGTTATTGGCGATGCTTTGATTTCGTGGCAGGTGCAGTGAATCGTGAACTTTGGACATGTGGATTGCTTTCAGAATTTGTGAGACGTATCGCGCGAAAAACTGCCTTTTGAATCCTTTTGGAATTATTGTCCATTGTCCATGTGCTTTCCTCGGTGCAACACTTTGTGATCGTTAATGGGCAAAGATTGTGGTAGGTGGAGCGCTTTGGCAGCTACGCTTTGTGAAAACATGTGAAAACTAAGGGTGCAGCACTTTGTAAACATCGAAATGCACATTTTGTGGCAGGCACTAGGGCGTCCATGCGCAGATTGTGGCAGGAATACAAACCATGCCCGAAACTAATGGGCTGCTGATGGACGAGCCGGAGCACCGACCACCACCAGGATGACACGATGCAGGAAAGAAGCAGCGCTGCAAAGCCCCGGCGCGGAAGCGCCATATATCATGGTCGAGGGCAGAGGACGAGAGTGCAGCAGCGCCCCCAATACAACCCAACACAGGAAACACACTCTGACATTGGTTTTCAGTTACACTCAGTTCCCACGTTGAG